CCCTGGTGACTGCCAAGTCGCCCAAGTCCCTTTTGGCTGCATTTCGTTTTCATTATCCACGATCCCCGTTGGCAAGTCATTGACACACCTGTGCAACGCTTCAGCATTAACAACATGGTCGGGCCAAAGGGCAGACCTGACCCTTCAGGGGAGGAAAGTTATGCGATGTTATGCTCGATAAGACATGGTTAACGTTACATTATGACGAAAGAGAAGCCCAACAACATTTTCATATATCACCATTTCTAATGACTTTTAAAGAGCAAAAACTCTTAACCATTTTTTATATACACAGTGGCGCACTTAAATTAATTTGTTTTCTTTGCACATTGCTTTATTTCATTTTACCTTTTTTCTGTTTAACTAATCCATTTTCTTTTAATTAGTTTTACTCATTTTACCAAGCAGCTGCAATTGTCTTGCAATTTTTTTTTTTTCATCTTTCAAAAATGTTGTTTGGCATATGAAAAGAAAATATTAATAAATATGAAAAATTTGCATTTACCACAAAATTGCTTGCTTATTTTGAGAAAAAAATGTGCTTCAAGTTTCATTGTTATCAAATAATTCGTTTACTCAACTTCATTATTTAAAAAAAGAGCAGAGCAAAGAATATTTGTGAATGCCAAATTCAAAATTCGAAATACAAAAAAAAAAAGAAATATATTATTCACAGCCAATCATAATCACAGTTGCTGAGTATCTGGTCAGTTCTCTGCATACTTAAAGACGAGAAATCTTCAAAGTTTTCAAACTTTAATTACATTTGTCTGCCCATTGCACACACACAAAAAGTCAAGTGCAAAGTTCCCAAGTTCAATTCAATTCCAATTTCGAACAGCGCTCTCCACCTTCCCGAACGCCCCCTGGCGCTCAACTCATGAACCTTAACTTCGTCACAGTTCTGTCGCTTTCCAAACTATTTTATTTTTGGTTTTTTTTTTTTTTTAACTCATTTCCACCGAAAAGTTCAAATAACATTTCCGAAAACCATTTAGATGTTTGTGATAATTGTTGAATCAGCCCTAACGGCTGCCTGTGGCACAAACTCAACCTCTGCCCCTGCCCCTG